GACTCAAATAATTAAAATCAGAAACGAATGAGGGGACATTACAACTGATTCTATAGTTATAAAAATATTATAAGGGAATGCTATAAACAATCATATGCCAACAAAATGGATAACCTAGATGAAATGGACAAATTCCTAGAAACATACAACCTATTCAGACTAAATCATGATGTTGTAGGAAATCTGAACAGACCTGTAACTAGTAAGGGAATTGAATCAGTCATCAAAAACCTCTCAACAAATAAAAGCCCAGGAGTAGATGGCTTAACTGGTGAGTTCTACCAAAGACTGAAAGAAAAATACCAGCTTTCCTCCAGCTCATCCAAAGCACTGAAGAGAAGGGAACCCTTCCAAACTCATTCTATGAGGGCAGTATTACCCTGATACCAAAACCAGACAAAGAAACAACAAGAAAACTGCAAACCAATATCCCTGATGAATAATGTTGCAAAAATCCTTACCAAAATATTAGCAAACAAAAATCAAAAGCACATTCAAAGATTGGGACTTCCCTGACAGTCCAGTGGTTAAGACTCTGCGCTCCTACTGCAGGGGGTGTGAGTTTGATCCCTGGTTGGGGAAGTAAGATCCCACATGCCATGTGGTGTGGCCAAAAAATAAAAAAAATTAAAAAAAATAAGAAGAAAAGATTTATACACCATGACCAAGTGGGATTTATTCCTGGAATGCAAAGATGGTTCAACGTATGAAAAACAGTTGGTGTAATGCATCACATTGTCAACGGAGGGGAAAGAAACCATATGATCATCTCAACTGATGCATAAACAGCATCCGACGAGTTCCAACACCCTTTTATGATAAACACTCAACAAAATATGAATAGAAAGAAACTTCCTCAATGTAATAAAGGCCATATTTGAAAAATCAACAGCTAACACCATATTCAATGGTGAAAGACTGAAAGCTTTTCCTCTAAGATCTGGAACAAGACAAGGATGCCTGCTTTTGTCACTTCTATTCAACATAGTACTGGAAGCCCTAGTCAGAGCAGTTAGGCAAGAAGAAGACATCCAAAATGAAAAGGAAGAAGTAAAATTATCTCTGTTCACAGACAACGTTATCTTATATGTAGAAAACCTAAAAATTCCACCAAAAAATTGTTAGAACTAACAAAAGAATGGTGGTTGCCTGGGGCTTGGGAGAAGGAGATATGGAGGAGTTGTTTAAGGGGTATAGGATTCTAGTGTTGTAAGATGGAAAAACAGGTGTGGAGATAAGATGTACAGCAGTGTGAATGTTCTTAACACTACTGAACTGAACAGTTAAAATTGGTTTAAATGATAACCTTTATGTGTATTCTACCACAATTAAAAAATTTTAAACTGCACAAGTTAGTTACTTCAGTGTTTTGTAAATTACCCCATTGTCAGGCCTCTCAAAGCTCCAGTGCAGGCCTAGCAGTATCTTACCTCTCTTCCTAAGAAATGATGTGTGACAAACCTCACAGTTTTGTTTGGAGCTTGATGACATGTTGGCACCATAGCATGGTAGACGTCCAAGTAATACTGCAAACTTCATGATGTAATTCTCAATTGTCAGTTGGTGCATCACTGAATAATGATAGAATACTGCAGAATTAAGCAGAAACTGTTAGGTCTGTATTTCTGATTTTTTAAGAAAGGAATAAATAGCAAAAACAACCTTGGACTATATCATTTTCTTAATGGAGACTATTATCCTGTAGAACTGCATTGTCTGCAGAATGGTTAATGACCACTAACAGTTTATTTTTAGATATTCCACTTGTATAGTAAGGTTGATATGACCATTTCTGGGTGAATATCTTCATAGCTTAATACTAATAATAATCTAAATTTTGGAAATTTCCAGGAGGTTTGAAATGTGTTATGTTACGATTTTTGCAATTTCTTTCCATTGCTTTATCAGTAAACATATAATCAGTGGGGTAATATTAAAATAAGAAGTAGAATGGTATATTGATGTAAAGTTTTGGATTCTCATCTTGTCTCACATTTCCAGTCATGAGAATTTGATCAGGTTTTTGAATCCTTCTGCTTTCAGTTTGTAGATTGGGAGTAATGATGGCTATCCTCGTGATGTCCTAGGTTGCAAAGATTAAAGTAGCTAGTTCCTTTATGCAAATGAATGATTATAGTCATAGAACTTTAGAGAAGAAACAAACTTTCCAGATAAAGGGTTTTCTAAACTTTTTTTCTGAAGCTTTGGCAACTGTTTCTGAAAGAAAGTTAGGAAGAACCTAATGTAGAAAACAAATAATATACACTGCTGTATTTGAAATAGATAACCAACAAGAACCTACTGTATAACACAGGAAACTCTGCTCAATACTCTGTAATAACCTAAATGGGAAAAGAATTTTAAAAAGAATAGATACATGTATATGTATAACTGAATAACTTTGCTGTACACCTGAAACTAATACAACATTGTTAATAAACCATACTCCAATATAAAATAAAAATTTTAAAAATAAAAAATTATATAAAGCAAAAAAAAAAAAAACGAAAGAAAGAAAACAAATAAAATTGGCTGAAGTAAGAGTAGGGTTCCAGAGAGGACACTGCCTGCTTGGTTTCCCCTTAATTCTTCTCTGGCAGCCCAATCCACCAGAGCTCAAACAAAGCACTTAGAACATGTTTTTTCAACAAATTTAATTATTAAGAAACTAAACTGTGCATTCATTTTGAAGGAGAAGATGTGGGGCTAAAGTGATATTAATGTTCATTATTACTGCTATTATTTTATGCATTTCTATTTTACTGAAATGTTATTGATAGCAAGTCAAGAAAAACACCTTTTGCTTTGTTATATAAGTCATGGAAGGCTCTTAAACTTTTAGAACAATGAAGCTTTTAGGGTCGTTAACAGTTAATAAGCAATGTGTAAATATACTCATATCTGTGCCAATAAGTGAAAATTTTAAAAACCCCTACCTTACTGTTATTAAGTCAAAGTGATCCCTTTATATTTACTTTCTATCCCAGTTAACCTCTTTTCTATGACTCAAGAGAGATTAAACTCTTCTAATTATGATTAGTATGCATCATTTTTTGTGTTGTCTTTGTCTGTAAAAATGGTGGTATTAACACACCTTTTAATATAGAATGTTCATATTATGGTAGAATGGTGTTGATTTTTTTAAACCTGCATTTTCAAAGTAAACTTTAAAGTTGTACCCAGTGGCCTTTAGAAGAAATTAAAGCTAACTGGCCCATACATTCATGTAGAGTTTTGATCTCATTTAAAAGGGTTAGTTGAGCTAACCAAATGGAAAAATGCTTTTTATAGTCTGATGCTTCTTTTTTGAAAACAGCTTAATTGATATATTATTTGCATGCCTACAAGTTGACCTGTTTAATGAGGGTAGTTCAGTGGGTTTTAACGTATTTACAGAGTTATGCAACCATTACCATATTCCCATTTTAGAATATTTTCATTACCCTCAAAAGAAACCCTGTGCACATTAACCCTTTCTTCCCATTTCTTTCCTTTCCTTAGGCAATCACTTATCTATTTTCCGATTCTATGGATTTGCCTATTTAAATGGGGTCATACAATATGTGGGCTTTTTATGACTGACTTCTTTCACTCAGCAAAATGTTTTTGAGATTCATCTGTCTTGTAACACATTAGTACTCCATTCTAGTTTATTGCTAAATAATATTCCAGTGTATGAATATTCCACATTTTGTTTATCCATTCATCAGTTGATGAACATTTGGGTTGTTCACACTTTTTTGGCTATTATTAACAATTTTTTTTAAACATTTACATTCCAAGTTTTTGTTTGGACATCTGTTTTCATTTCTCTTGGGTAGATACTTAGGAGTGGAATTGCTGAATCATAAGGTAATTCTATTTTAACGTTTTGAAAAACTGCCACACTGTTTTCCAAAGCTCATTTTGTATTCCTGCCAGCAATGTATGAGGATTCCAGTTTCTCCACAGCCTCCCAAAACTTGTTATTATTCTCTCTCTTTGATTATAGCCATTCTGGTGGGTGTAGAGTGCTATCTCATAAATTCAGCGTTTCTTAGGCAGACCCATATAGGTCTGTAGATATGTTCTGCAGAATCTAAGAGTTCTAAGAATATACTTTTTAAAAAAAAATTTTCATGTTGATGGTAATATAACTATACTCTGGAGCATCTGAATGACTGACCACCTAATAACCAAGACTGCCACACTATTTCAGTATTCATATTTACTTGTTTAAAAGTCCACTGGCACCAAGAAATAAAACTTTCATTTTTAACATGCTAATGGGAATAGAGAGGGCTGTAATTACATAAATTATGTATTTCTGCCAAGAGGCAGCCAAATAATATTTGGCCTCTACTCATCTCAATTAATGCTATAAAGAACAGAGGTTTTGCAGTATTTGAATAGAGAAATGGTTATACAATTGACTCATCACAGTATTGTGGGGATGATAAATGCAAAAGAACTTTATGCATAGCACTCAACCTGGTTGCAATAAATCCTATATTTGTTTGAATTTCCAGCTGTGATTTGATTTCAGTAAAATACTATCACATTCAATTGTGATAAAATTATTTTTCTTTTTTTGGTGTTTACATATAAATTTATTTTGTTTTTATGATTGTAAAATTTCCAATTGTATGGTTATATACACTTAAACAACATTATAATAAAAAAGTAACTCGAGCGAACATTTAGGAATCACGATCCTTTTTTCTTTCTTTTAGAGGAGTCCACATATTATGAGTTCATTGGTTACTGTTATCTGTATCTTTAGGTTCGTGCCTTTGGCTCTTTGCTTTTAGAGGCAGGCCTTCAGCTGTAGACTCCTGTGAGATTTTGAAGTTTGTGTTATCACTTGTTCAAAGCATAATTTAAGTAAGTTTGGTAATGATTTGTTTTAAAAGCCATCCGAGAAAAAAAGAAGGATTAAGGAGAAATTATTTCTTTGTAAATATACTTACACATATTTTTCACAACTTTGTTTTGTTTTTACTGATTACTGTCAATTTCAGATAATTAATATGCGTTTCCAAGGCTTTCGGCTATGTTTGGGTCTTCTTTTCATCTCAATTAATGCAGAATTTATGGATGATAATGTTGAGATGGAAGACTTTGATGAAAATTCAGAAGAGATTGATGCTAATGAAAATGAATTCTCCTCAGAGGTAAGGTTATTGAGAAACAAGCTATAATTTATTCTTTTAGGGACTTCCCGGGCGGTCCAGTGGTTAAGACTTTGCCTTCCAGTGCAGGGGGTGCGGGTTCCATCCCTGGTTGGCGGGGAGCTACTAAGATCCTACATGCCTCGCGGCCAAAAAACCAAAACATAAAACAGCAGCAATATTGTAACAAATTCAATAAAGACTTAAAAATTAGGTCCACATCAAAAAAATCTTTAAAAAAAGTAATAAAATATTCTTTTACATGAACATAGGGGTGACTAATTTCTTAAGATTCATTTCTATTCAAATAGTCTTTAGTTTCAATATAAATAGGAAAAACATTGCCTTTTACCAACTATTTGTTGCTGTGTTTTTAATTTGTGCATGGCACCTAGCACAGTTTTATTACCAAATAAATATGGGGAAGATCTTTACTATCAAACTAGGAGTTCATCACTGGCTAAAGAGGACTAAATACTTTAGCTAAGGGAAAGGTTTTTAGTCTTATTTTTGACACTGCAAGCCCTTTTCAGATAAAAGAAAAGGTAGTATAATTTTTTCTTAGAAGTAAAGAAAGTAGTGTTTCTTTATTTCTCTGAGGGAAGAAAATGCTAAATAGGATGAATTAGAAAGGGGAGTGATGATGAGGTAGGCATTTAGTAAGGCTCACAGTGTTTCTATCTCAGCATTAAGATGTGTGTCTTGAGGTGGTGACTGATAGGAGTCTGGAAAACAGGAGCCTGGAGGTTTTTGTACACTTCGACAATCCATAAGAGCTTTCACATTGAGAATATTCATATCTAATATTGAGACAGTCAGAAAATTTTTTCAGAAATATTTTTGGTGAGGAAATATCAATTATATTGTGCTAGCCGCTGTTAAAGGGCCAAGGAGAATAATATATAGTTGTCACAGACTTCTTTTTAGAGTTTTTAATTTGCAAATGCAAGTGTTATTTAGCTGCTTAAGGCGAATATTCTTTCTCCTGTTAAGTTTTAAGCTCCACAAGGACATTTCTTTTAAAACCTGGTTCTGTGATCCACAGAAACTAAGTAGTAATCAAAGTGCTTATGGCTGACTTAGATACAGCTACTGCGAGGGTTTTGGAGGTTAATACTTCAAAGAAATTTCAGATACCTACGACTCTTAACTATATTTGATGATAATTTGAGAAGATGATAAGAAATGGGAGGAACAATTTTTGATGCTTCTAATTTTATAGCATGAGTAATCTAGATATAGTAAAATACAAGTGAAGTATAAATAAAGTGCAAAATAAATTGCTGGTGATTTAAAGGGTCATCTAACAGAAGGAAGCCTCTTGTAACACCATTGCCCATTTTTGCCAATCCATAAAAATAAAGAGAACAGTAAAGTTGTAAGTTCTAATTCAGAAAACTTCATGGGCGATTGGCAATTTGGGTAGCAGAATATTGACCTGTTAGTAAGTGTATGGGATTTTGTTTAATTACTGATTTTCCTCCCTTAGACAGGAAATGTACTATTAGGGAAGGGTAGGGACAGTGAAAATAGTGAAAGTACTTCTGCATCCTTTTCTCTTAAGGCTGAGAGAAGAAATTTCATAATTAATCATATAGGTAAAATCATAAAGGCTGATTAAGAAAGGACCAAGATTTATGTATTACTGTAAGCAAAATTTTATTTATTCATCATCAGTTCAAATTATCTTTTGAGGGCTTCCCTGGTGGCGCAGTGGTTGAGAGTCCACCTGCCGATGCAGGGGACATGGGTTCGTGCCCCGGTCCGGGAAGATCCCACATGCCGCGAAGCGGCTGAGCCCGTGAGCCATGGCCGCTGAGCCTGGGCGTCCGGAGCCTGTGCTCCGCAGCGGGAGAGGCCACAACAGTGAGAGGCCCGCGTACCGCAAAAAAAAAAAAAAAAAATTATCTTTTGACAATTTGTCAATAAATTTAATTTAAATTATTTTATTGGTGCATTCGGTATAGTGTAATGGTTAAGTGTATAACCTTTAGAACCTAGGCTCATATCTTTTAAGTCCTGCAAGTGTCTAACTGTATGACAGTGGGCAAATTATTTTGCCTGTCTCCCACAGTTTCATCATACGTAAAATGGGAACAATAAAGTACTTCCCGCATAGAAATATCATGAGGATTAAAAGAGCCATCAAATCACACTCCCCCCATCATCTTTATCATCATAGCAGCTAACACTTACATGGCACTTGAAACAATGCTTTGAGATAATTGCTTTGCAGTCCTTTCTCTTTTGAATCTTATTTTTCCTCTGGGTTTCTAATTTCTCAGAATGTTGTCATCATCCTCTAGTTACATAACAGTGAAATTTAAGAGTTAATTTTAAACTAACCCATGTGCTTACTAAGTTTTTCATCTTATATGTTTTTCATCTTACATCTTTTGCTTCTAATGATTTTTTATCCTCAAACATTGTCACCTGTTAGAATCCTTTCAAAGCCACATCCACTGCATCATGAGGCCTTGGCTAATTACTTCCTCCCATCCCTCCTGTGTTAGAAGGAGTCAGTGCATTCTGTTTGCACATAGAGTTTTTTTCCATCGTGTATCTCTTATATTCTTCTGTATTTTCTTACCAGTAGAATACAAAGTTTTGAGGCCAGAGACCATGTCACCTACCATCTATCTATATTACCTATATGTGCATTCCATACTAGGTTCTTATTTAGTGAGATTATTTAATTAAAATATTTGTGAAGGTGAATAACTTTAGATTTTTAAAATCTATTTTCTAGATTAAATATAAGACACCTCAACCTATAGGAGAAGTATATTTTACGGAAACTTTTGATAGTGGAAGGTTGGCTGGGTAAGTATTCATTCAGGAGAATTTTTTCCTTGATTTGATTAGCTTTTTTGAAGTTATTGGTTGTTAGCCTATGAAAATTGCCTCTACTACAGTACCTTAAAAAAGGGTTAACATACTTTATTTCACGGTGTAAACCAATACCTTAACACATTTTTATTATTGATAGAAGTGTTTAATTTGAATTGTTATCATTTATACAAAGAAAATATACAAATGAATCATGAATGTAAAGTGAAAACTTACATTTCTTCATTCCTTAGGACAGATATTAATAACGTAATTTCAGATGACAAATTCAAGTTAATGTTTTATCCTAAATAATGGTAAAAAAACAATAAAAGTTATTATTTATTGATCATTATATGCCAAACACTGCCCTAAGTAGGTGGGTAAGAACTATCTTTATCTGCCTTTTACCAGTGAGGAAACTGAGGCTTCGTGTACCTTAGCTATGATCACACAGCTAGTAAATTGCAGATTCTAAATTTAATTTAACTCTAGCTTTACAGAATTATGTGTAGACATCCTTGTTTAGCCTCTAAGTATTCATTTATCTTAGAAGGAAAAGCGACTGTTGGGTAATCTTCTGTTGTATTTCTGATATGCATTGTATCTATAAATTGTTAGTTGTATTTTTAATGATATACATTTCTTTCAACTTTATTTATAGGTGGGTCTTATCAAAAGCAAAAAAAGATGATACAGATGCGGAGATTTCTATATATGATGGTAAAATATTTATTTAAATATTCAACATAACCAGTATGACCCAGAGTTCACTAGCTTTTGAGATTATATTTTTATTAAATATACCTGAGGCCCCATCCTGCTTTACAACAGAATCTTGTCAAAAGACAAATAGAGTCTTTTGTCTCCTTTCCAATATTTCTGGAAGTCCAGGTAATCCATACTTAAGCCACCATCCAGTTTTCTAACTCTGAACAGTTAAATTTTCACTCCACTGCAGTTAGTCTCTTGCAGGATTTCCCAGGCTACTGCTGTTCTCTACTGTTTTCTCTCAAGCATGGGCTGCCTAGATCAAGTTATAACTTTCTGCAGGGTCCTCCTAGAGGACATTTGTGAGAGCTGTGGGACATGTGGCTCCTAGCCCACAGCCATTATCACTGCGTCTCTGATAGGTTATCTTCACGCTTCACTGTGAAGGAAAAGTCCTATATGCAAGGGTCATCTTTTCTTCTCCAACAGGACTCTCCTGGAGTGTGATGGAAGACTTTCTTCCTCCTCTTAGTCTAAAACCAGCCTCCTCAGTTGTTACCTCCTAAAGCAGGATCAGCCTCAGTCAAGGTGACAGATAGTGGGAATTTCCTCTCTCTCAGAGGACCTCAGACCCATAAGGATGTGACCTCACACTGAGACTCCAACAGGCGTTACATGAGAATAACAACAGAACAACTAACAGCATGTATAGGCTGGCAGCTGCCTACTTCTGTTTCATAGTGTCTGTTTTAGTGTGAGATAAAGATCATGCCTGCATGTCTTCCTTTGTAGTGTTCTCCATCCCAGTGTATATGCTTATGTACTCCAAAAAGAACTCTACCATATGCCCAGAGCAAGCAATACTGCATTCAGTCTAAATCCATTTAGAGAAAAGAATAATTTCCCTCAAAGAAGCAGCAAGTCTGCAGAGATAGAACACTACCTAAAATAATACCCACAGAAATACCTGCCATCGAACAGAATGCTTGACTTAAAACATCTATGTTTAGCTTACTTTACAGTTTTTTTAGAACAGCATTGGGTAGATATTTGCTTTATGTTTGTGTAAGTATCTGTTGATGGAGTTTTCCTAAAATTAGGATATGGTCTATTTTAGGAGTAAGTTTGTCTCTCTTTCTTGCTGGACAAAAATGACTTAGTGTTTAAATGAGTTTTTTCCCCCCCAGCTTAAAATTAGAGCTCAAGCAAGCAGAAAACAAGCTTCTTAACACCTAAGTTTGGTCTGTAGTCTTATTAAACAAAATTATCCACGAAAATAATTTTTTAGCATATTAGATTTGGTATGTTTGGTTGACTTTTTTCAATTTCTTGAAAGCAACTTTGAAAAATACAGAATCTCTTAAAGTTCCAGGTCCTGAAAATGGCATTTTGTATATAAATATTAGCAATGTTGTTTATATAGTGGTTAGTTGAGACCAATATCAGTTTCTTTGCAGGAATATTTAGTATTTCTAGTCGTTAATCACAACTTCTGTCAAGTGCCATTTGAGTAAAACTAATTCCTGTATTTTCAGGAGTAAGCAAATCTGTGTGAAACATTATGTGCTGGGTAACAGGGTTTGCATTTGGAGGAGACTTATTTAAATTTTTCAGATTAAGTTATTAATAAAAGTATAGCTGTTTTAAAAATCACCAATTCTTTAAGTGACCAACTTTCAGGATACCTTATAAAATTTTGTGAATTCTTTATGAAATTATAGTTACATCAGAGTTCATATTACCTGGCACTGTATAGAATTTGAGTAAATGATTGGTTAATGAAAAGTTATTGTTGATTTGAAGTTGGGAAAAACCTCTTGTCCTTGAAGAATAATCACCTTGTCACAGGTTTTCTAAAATTAAAGTAGTACTTTTAGATACTACCTTTTCATAGTGGATAAATGTATGCATGTAATTACAAAAGAAGGCAACATAGTTTAAAAAAGCTTTACTATCAGGATCCTAAAACCCCTAAAGATAAATTTGTTACTTCTTAAAAGAAGACCTTTGTGATTTGGTCAAGCCACAGGTTGGCAGTGATAATACAGTTGCTCATCAGTGTGAGAGAAGAAAAACCAAACGAATTCATTTTTTTAAGAAAAGTACACTATAGCCAAATTAGGGGACAAAAAGGAAAAGAAACTTGAAAACTTTAAAAAATGAATTCTTAAAAACCCAATACTGTGTGCACAATGATAGACCAAAATATACCCTTCTCTGGTTCATGAGACTGTCAGGTTCTTGCACTGTTGTTTTTTTAGAAAGAAAAAAACGTGTATAAAGTACATTAGTAATTCAAAAGTGCCCATTAATATTTCAAGTTGGCACAATACCGGAAAATAGCCAGTTTTCGCTAAATTGAGTTTTCTTGGAATAGGCGATACCTCTAATTTTCAAAGCTAGAACATTTTATACAAATTAATATAAATTAGTTATTTTCTGTTTTAAAAAGAGTAAAGGAGGAAAGTCCAATCCACAACTTTGGGGCTGCAGCTAACCCATCTAGCTTTGTATTATATGCTGCCTGTGATCTAATTGCAGGAGCTTCCTGATCTTAAACATGGGAAATTCCAGCCTAGAGAGGACCTAACTCAGCTTTGCTGTGCTACAGCCTAGTGCTTATCTAGTATGTATGACTTCCTTGGCCAAAAGTTCTGAGAACTGATTGGTTTAGCTTAGGAAGTGTTAACTTTAGTTTGTGTTCTTTGGGCATAACAATTTTCAAATTAAAATTTAAATCTCTACAATAACTTCTGCAAAGTAAGAAAAGTAGCTGATGATACCATAAATTTCAAAAAAATTGACTGAGGCAAACTCATTTTGTGTTAAGGATGTACTTTGTCTCCTGTGTAATTTAAAAATACCTCATTTTAAAAGTACAATGTTGATAGACCGTATGAGACAAACCACATTTTGTGATTTCATTGATTACAGTCTTTCAGAGAAATCCAAACTAAGCCAGCTTTAGAGGTGCTTTAATTAAATACTGTAGGGTCTGTTATTTATTAGTTTCCACAGTTTTAAGAGAAAAAGAGAACATACATGTACAGATATTATTTTCTGATTTAAAATGTGATTTTATTTTCTCCAAAGTAGCCTTCATGGAAGAATCTTATTGGTCACCACTTCTGATAAATAATTCTTAAGTCAGTGTTTTTGGTTTTAGTTTAACTTGCTTTGTTTTGTATTTTAGGAAGATGGGAAATAGAAGAATTGAAAGAATATCGAGTACCTGGTGACCGAGGACTGGTGTTGAAATCTAGAGCAAAGCATCATGCAATATCTGCTGTATTAGCAAAACCTTTCATCTTTGCTGATAAACCTCTGATAGTACAGTAAGTTTTATTATGTTTTTAATACTTTTTCTGACATTTATATTAGTTTTATATAATTTGGCTTCTGAATATAGGTATAATGGGTATAAAATGGGCATAAAAAACCAGATTTTCCTTTTCCATTTCATTTGCTTAAATACACAATGCATGTATACACACAGACACCCTGAGGTTTCGAGAGAAAAGCAGGTTAGTTGAAAAATTATATAATATATGCTGTAATATGCAACATTCCACCACCATAAACTATATAGTGCATACTAAAATCACCATTTTTATTTTAACTCTTTACTTAAAATGACTTGCTATTAAGATATATTAACCTCAGTATATTCAGAATGGAACCATAAATATTGCTGGTAAACCAGTGATAAGATCCAAAGGCAGCAAATTCATTTTAAAGAGGAAGTGCCCTTTTAAAGGGCACATGATCTCACAGACAGTCACCCCTTCCCTCCCCTGCAATATGACATAAACTAGTTTTATTGTCATGTTGTTTGCATGTGTAACTGTCGTAAAATCCAGTGTAAATTCCTCAAGCTGTTTCACCTATACTGGTGTAAAACCAAAATAAGTGTGTACAAATACAATTACAAAACCAATGAAATTCATATTAAAAACAAAGAAAAGGAAATGTAGAAATGTTACTTTCTACCTTAGAAGATTGGGCTGTCCAAAGTTAATTACAGTGTAAGGAAATACCATTAACTGTAAACTTAACACTCCAGAACCACTTCAGTTTTTTGTTAACATGTTAAATATATTCCTATGTGGTGTAACTAAAATGCCATTTTGTATTTTAGAAATTTAAAACAATATGGCATTTGGTATAATTGGGCTAATTTTTCAGCTGTGATGCTTTGGCTTAGTTGCACTGTTATTTCAATAAATTTAAAATATCAAATAATGTCAAAGAGTATACAGCCATTTAAACAAATGAAAAATATTGTTATAAGTACTTATTGGGATTAATATTTGAGCTTGATATATGTCATTATTCAGAGTTTGGAGTTTCTTTTTTCTTGAAAATTTGAAAGTAATCTTCTTATTCTGTTGAAGTTAGGTGAATATAATATCATTCTCTATTTTAATCCTTTGTGGCTTAACTGAAAGGGTAACGGAAAATAATATAAAGTTTAACTTCTCCAGAGTAAAATGAATCAAATTTGGTATTTTCAGGAAGTATAAATCACTGCTAGGCAAGCAAGTGAAAGATAGCTTGCAAGATTAGAAGCAAAGATAATAAGTCTAAAAAAGTTATTAAAGCAGTTGTGAAATTATTATTCTGAAAAAAGAAAAGGAGAATCAAGAAGAATGGAATAGCAGTGTTTGATATGCTTGAAAACAGTTCAAAAAAGGATAGTGAATATTTGTTATTCTTAATTTTGATGAAATGAGATAAATAAAAAATTTTATATTAACTACTATAAATACTATAGATTTATGACATAACTTTACTCTAAAGCTGCTTTTTCCAAATTGTGTACCTACTAATATGCATTATGTGGTCATATAAGTTTTAGAAACTAAGAATATCTGAACCTTAAAGATAAGGAAGCATATTTGCCCATTAAAGACTTTGAGAAGTTCTCTGTATGAAAACCTGTTTTTAACTTGAATATTGTGTTTCCCAAACATAATTGACCACAGAAGTTTTTTACCCCCTTAGCAATAATTACTATTTCATGGGACAGTTTAGAAAATGCTACTCTAAAGAAAATAGGGTTAACATATATTCTGCATTTGTCCTCATTTTTCCTATGATCTAAGATTAGCAGCAGTGAAGCTCTATGACATACATTTCACTGATCCTCAAATCCATTGTGAACTATTTATACTAGGCACAAGTTAATGATTTGAAAAATCTGGAAGTTTGCAGCGTACGAAATAGACATAGTGATCGAGTCTAGGCATACTAAGACAGCAGAGCTGTCTTAACATTTATAGAGACAATTTACACAATTGTTCTCTCTAGTTCTTTTCACAGAACCCTTTTTCCTTGGATCACCTATGCTAAAACTATATCTCTTTTTATTTTATTTTACTTAGAGTAGCAAATATTTACCTTTAGTTCACATTATGCACCATTTCTTTTACTTTGTACTCTTCAAAGACATGTTTCATGAAAAAAAAGTTTATCAGCTACTGCTTTAAAGTATTGATAAGGCTTTGAGGAAACAAACTATTTAAAAACTGAAAAAGAACAAAACAAAACTTTTCTTCTGATCATAACAGAAGCTAACATTTTTGAGCATTTATTGGCCCATTACTGTGCATGACAACTTCTAATCATCATAACAGTCCTTTGAGGTGTAGGTATGGGCAATATTCCCACGTTACAGATGAGCAAATAGAGACTAGAGCTTCAGTAACGTGCCTTTAGCCAAGGTATTACCAGAATCCAGAAAAAATCTCAGGTCTTCCTGACTCAGAAGTACTTGCTTGTAACCACTGTTGCAGATATCTTGAGAAATAAAGCAGAGTAGAAAGTAGGGAGGGGAAATCACCATAATCTCCAGCAACTCAGAGATGATCACGTAAAAGTTTACTGTATTTTCTCTATTTCTTTTCCATACAAAATACATATACTAATTGGGTTCAAACTGTCAAAGTTTTGTATGGCTTTTTTTTTTTTTTTTTTTTTACTTTTTCTCTAAACTTTCTTCAGAAACATTTTAAACTATAGTCCTTCATTAAGATTATCACTGTGTCCTGTTGCTCCTCTAGTTTTCATCTCTTTTTGCTTTAATTCATTAAACCAAATCATAACTTTTTTGGTTTTCACTGTTTTTCAGCTTGATAACCGGTTTGTTACATGTAATTCATCAATTTACTAAAAATCTCTTCTAAATAGTGTTCAGTAAGACTGTCATTGCCTAAATAAGACAAAACAACAACAGAACTATTGCTGAGAATTAGAGTGTTGTAAATCTGTGAAGAGACTGCCATGTCAGTTTGCTCTTTTAGCTGTTACACTGTGTTTTCCCTATCCCCTGGCTGTTAAGATCTGGAATATTCCAGGTTATTGACTGAGATTATGAAATCTCTTTGCTGGTGGTATTTAATTAAATGTACAACTTATTTAACATGGTTTCAGTGTAGCTGAACTAAAAGACAAATTAGCAGCAGACTGGATACCTAGGATCATTAGCAATTTCTTAGAAATTTATGCTGTAGCCATGACCCCCAAAGTCTTTGTTTTTAGTTTATAAAGACTATATATAGTACGTACCTTATTTTAATTTGAAGTTTCCTGTTAAAAGTTTTAGTCAAAGTATTTTATTCTTAATTCAACAGTTTTGATAAACAAATTATTTCAACAAATTGGTTGGCTTTTGTATAGTTGATTATAATCATTCTATTTTTAATATTTTAAGGATGTGCACAGAAAAGTCATTTCTGCTTGTTCCCTATAGGTTGTGGATATACTTTGTATGAGCTTTCTGGTAATGTAAAATGTTTGTGTCTAAATGAATTGAGAGTAATACATTAGATTTTGAAGAACAGTTAGTAATTTTTATTTATCAGCAGTATGATTCTTTTTCCCTTCATTTAGATATGAAGTAAATTTTCAAGATGGTATTGATTGTGGAGGTGCATACATTAAACTCCTAGCAGACACTGATGGTTTGAATCTGGTATGATATTTTAATGTTTAAGAAAACCTTATTAAAGTTAATAAGTATTTTTAAGGAGCAATTGACACAACTGAAATTTTCATTTTCAACTGAAATCGAAAATAACTTTGAAAATTTTTACCCACCATGAGTTTATATAGCTTTTACAGTGTGCCTTCAAGTTTCATACACAGCTTTGTTACTTGATGGCATCAGTTTTGTAATCATTAGCCACATAAAAAAGTTTGCTGTGTCTATAAATAAAAAATAACCTGGTGCTTATAAATGTCACTAAAAGATCAGCTTACAGTTATTTTCTTTACAAAATAATAATCACAGAAGAAGTAAGATAACAGAGCAAAGCAGTAAAACACAATGGCCAAAGAACCAAATTAAAAAGGCGGGCCAGTTCAGGAATTGGCAGTCTGCAAAAATTTACTAAGTTAAAAATGTTTTCATAGTGAAGCAGGTTACGTTAGGACCATTTGAGGTTTGGAGACATTTCTTATAGCATCCTCCTACAGGAGGCTATGTCAGGATTTCTGCATATAACAAAAATAAGATAAATGAGACATTAATGAGATATTTGTCAGAATGCGTGGCTATGAAACAGATTAAAGGATTCATTTACTGTTATTAGGATTGGGTAACGGGGAAGCCATTTGTAGTAGATGGTGAAACACTTAGGTATTGTGAGATGATGATCACCTGAAGGTACAATGGCAATAATAAAGTCAAATACCAAGTATTTGTCTAAGCACTTTATCTAATTAATTCAGTTAATCCTCAGAGAAACCTTATAAGGTACGTACTATTATTATCTTCATCAGAGGTAATGAAATAGAACCACAGGGAGGTTAAGAAATTTGCTCAGGGCCACACACAGCTGGTTTAAAGGCAACGGTAGGATTTGAACTCCAGATCCCATGCTCTTAACCAGTGTCCATGCCAAATGAAGAGAAATGACCAATAATGAAATGGGGAGCATGTTGCAGTGTCTGCTTTTGACAGACACAGTCTGTCAAATCAAGAGTCTGAATCTCTTCTTCACATTGTGCTAAGGGGCGCCATTTTCTGGTGTCTTACTGAATAGTAGTAATGGCTAAGTAGGCACTGTAGTCTTAAGTCACAGAATGCTTTTCTCTGTGCTTAATTTTCTTAATAAAATTTAATAATACAGATCTATATAGAGTAACTAAAACGTTATGATGTTGCTAGGGTGGTTCCAGCTTCTCTCCTACATCTTGAGGATGGAAGTAATGTGTGCACTTAAAAAACTATTTTGAAATAAAATTTGTTGTGTTTTCCACATCCTTTATTGTCAATTGTGTCAACTAATTCTTTGGTGAATTAGCATTTGATACATTTTTGTGAACTCTACCCACTGGGGTAGAATAGAGAAATCCATTAAATACTCTAATTCTGGACTAATCCCAATACTCATCTCTCTTTGAAGGAAAACTTTTATGATAAAACATCCTATACCATTATGTTTGGACCAGATAAATGTGGAGAAGATTATAAACTTCATTTTATCTTCAGACATAAACATCCCCAAACTGGAGTTTTTGAAGAGAAGCATGCCAAACCTCCAGATGTAGACCTTAAAAAGTTCTTTACAGACAGGAAGACTCATCTTTATACCCTTGGTATGTCCTTTTAATTCATTCATTAATTCAGAGATATTTGCTGACTACCAATGTTTTCGTGGCAAGTGCTTCGGGAGAAACACAGGTCCTTCTGTTAAGGGCTTATCTTTTTAGGAGAATAAGACACACATACTTATAGCACAGGTAGAAAGTAAAGTGTCATATGAGGTACAGTTAAGAGCTCAAAATCAATATCACTTTCAGTTTGGAAACTTGGAGAAAACCTAGTGAAGGCGGTTATATTTGACTTAGTCTTGAAGTGTAGATATAATGTGGAAGATAGGAGAGGAAAGGGATATTTTAGGCACCCTGACATTAGTGGTGCTGAAAGAATAGAAAACTGGAGAAAAAGGTTAAAGAGGAGGAAGCCCTTAATATTAGACTTTATTCTACAGGCATTTGTCATTGTTGGGTCCTGCCTTGTGGTAGTTGTGGGAAAACTTTGAAAGGGAAAGCGTTGAGCGACCATCTATTAACATACTTAGCTTTACTTTTGTAACTACGAGTTTGCGTGTATATTGACTAGGAGGAACACTACATGGGATTCTTTCTCCTCTTCCCAAGAACATACAATTATAGAGGTTTGTTCTGCCCATGATTACTTAAAATCACAGCATGTCAGAACCTAACAGGACAACTCCATCCAAGACTAAGGTATTTCAGTTTTCTTTCCAAAAACTGCAGTTACAGAAACATTCATTTTGTCTGCCAACACAGGGAACAATTTTATTTTTAATATCAGTATTGATATCAAAGACCTTTTTCTGAAATTGGAAAATAGTACTAGACATTTTGGGGAGCATAAAGTAAACTGTAGAAATGTAGAGATAATGAGAAATTATAACTAGAAAAAATGAATTTTAATTAGACTTTGTATAAACCTGGTCAAAAGCACCTTGGTAGTGTAATCAAAGGCCACAATTCCACTTTCAGGAGTTTATCCAAAGAAAATAATCCAGAAGAAAGAAAATGACCTATGTGTAAAAATATACTGTAAATTGGAAGCAACCCAAATGTTACAGTAGTGGTTTTCTTTCTATACAATACAAAATGATAACTATGAAAATATTTAGCAACAAGGAAGAGACGTTTATAATATTAAAATTGGGAAAGAAAACGAGATTCAAATTGGAGGCACATCCTGATGGCCACTAGACATATTATGCAAACAAAAAGAAAAAGTCTAGAAAAAACTAATTTTTATTAATCACCTGATAGGTACCATGCTCTATGCTAGACACTTTGTTTACAACCGTCCTGTGAGGTGAGCAGTTTCTCTCTATTTTGCCTTAATTTAGGTTAAGTAACTTGCCCTAGGAAACAAAAGTAATTGGTTAAGACTGGAATTAAAACTCAAGTCTGACTCTTAAAACATTTGCTTTTCTTACTACTGTACACAAAAACTTTGTTGTGCTAGGATTATCGAGTGGCTATTTTCTTTTTAAAAAAAACTTTCTGTAATGCTACTATATTTCTATAACATTATCCTGTAGTTGTTCTAAGAACCTTACAGGGTCCCTTAAAAGACTTTATAATCCAATGTCTTTTGTTTTAGATTCATTTAGAACATTGAATACAGTTTTCTAAACGGAAAGGTTTTCTGGCTAAAGATTTTGGGCAAAGATGTCTTTTCACATATGTGTAATTGTCATGTGCTTTTCTGATTTACTATAATTTTAAAACATTTCAGATGCAAAATTTATTCAGAAAATAGTCTTTTCAGGATTTTTCTTGAGAAATGTCTTTTTTTTTATTAGAAAGGGTCTAGCACGTTTTTGCATTTAAGATCTTATTCTCAGTTCTGCTTCAATCTTGACTTTTTTCCTTTGTGTAGTAATATAGTTTTATAATCTCAGCTGTAATAGAAGACGAAATGGTGGAGAAAAAAGAGAAGGGAGAAAATACTGAGTGTTCATTTACATTATTTGAGTTTGTATATAAATTGCAATATTTGATTTTGATATAAATAATTTGGCATTGTTGTGACTGAAACCTTTGGAGAGTATTACTTCAGATTATTACTTTACAGAAAGTGGTAGCCCATTTACCTAGTTAAGTCAGGATCATCCTGACATTTATTGACAGCTCCTACTTCCTTAACTTACTAAAAGCAAATGTTAGGCAGCTACTTTCGTCTACAGTTCTTTCCAAAGATATAAATTATACTCAGTGACTCCCCACCCCATGTTTACAGAAGGGAGAAAGAGCTTTTATTTTGTCATTACAATGATAAGGGAGTCCTTTATGAAACTTTTGGCTTAGGGACTTTTAAAGAGCTAGAATTTACCTCAAAACAAACGTACTAAAGTGTGAGGTTGAATATTTTCAATCATCCTTAAGACATTTTTCACTATAGTGCATGAATCAATAAATTTGAAATGCCAATGAGCTTTATAGATTTCTAGGAAATTATAAGAATGTATCAGTGTTAAATTCCTGATTTTGGTGCCTAGATTTGGGTTATATAGGAGAATGTCCTTGTTTATAGGAAATATACATTAAAACATTCAGGGATGATACGGATGAGGTCAGTAATTTACTCTCAAGTAATTCAAGAAAAAATAAAGTTCTTTATAGCATACTTGCAACTTTTAAAGTTTGAGGTCGTTTCAAAAAATTATTTTAAAATAGTGAAGATTGGGTTGTATTCTGTAACTATGAAAGAGTGAAGCTGACTGGTCATGTGAGTCCTAAGCTGAGTTAGCTATTGGGTATTTTTTATTTGAGAAGTAATCGAGTGTTTTATTAAATTATTATTATTACTTAAAATTTTATCTTTGGTTTTAGAAAGCATTATGTCTAGTGATTTCAGTGTATTTTGATTTAATATGTTGGTAATTCCTCTACTGTGGTTGAGAGAAAATTTTACCCATGAAGTTCAGGGTAGAAGATTATCTTTAACATGTCATGTCTGTCAATATGATAAGTGTAATATGTTTAAATTGGTCTTTAGTGATGAATCCAGATGACACATTTGAAGTATTAATTGATCAGATAGTTGTAAACAAAGGAAACCTACTAGAGGATGTGGTTCCTCCTATCAATCCTCCCAAGGAAATTGAAGACCCCAGTGATAAAAAACCTGATGATTGGGATGAAAGAGCAAAAATCCCTGATCCTTCTGCTGTCAAACCAGAAGACTGGTAAGCAAAGAATTCAGTAGCAAAGCGTTCTTTGGCATAAAGTAACGTGTGTTTATGTGAAGTAACGTGTGTTTAAGTGAAGTTTACAACCAATGAAGCTTATTCTTTTAAACATCAGTACCACTTATTTTGACTATTTTGGGTGAAATACTTCTCTAAAACGGATTTTGCAGTCCCCTGCCTCTTAATTTTCATTTTAATTAATATTTTAATTTTGTTGCCCTTTTCAATATAGTATTTGTATTTTGTATGTTTTCAATGCTGTGGGGGAAAAAATTCCATGAATCTAAAACACCAACACTTTAATTTCAGTTCCCAGTTTGATCTTTATCATGTATGTGTGTGCGTACTTTACATAGTTGCGGTGTTTTCAGTTAATGATTAGTTGGCTTAAAAAGCCATATTCTCAGCATCTTATATAGGATTTACTCATACCAGTTTGCTTACCCATAAAATGTTCACTAGCTGAGTATTTGTGTGTTTTCCATTCTACAGGATTATGAATATTTTCCTTAAAAGAAATGTATTCAGTTCCAGATTACCTATAGCCTGAATTCAGATGGTGAGGGATAGTTTTATATCTCTACATTCAACTGAGATATTCTTTGTCCTTCAAATATGTTTTGTAATTTCTCCCTAAAATCTTGTTACCTTTATTCCTAAGAACGTTTTTTTTTTCCTGCTGACAGTTAACTCTTAATTATGGTTTTGCTAAGTAAATTATCTGTCTTTATGTATTTAACCCACCCTATTGGTTATCTATTGCTGTGTAACAAATTACCAAAAAACTGAAGACAACAAACATGAACTCACCCACTTCCTGAGAGGCAGGAATCTGGGAGTGGCTAGCTCCCCGGTTCTGGCTCAGACTCTCCTGAGGTTGCAGTCGAGCTGCCAGTAAGAGCTGCCTGCATCTGAAGGCTTGACTTGGGCAGCTGGAGGATCCACTTCCCACTGGCTTCTTGTAGCCTTTGTCAGGAAGTTTCAGTTCCCTGCCACCTAGGCCTCTCCTTAGGTCAGCTCATGACGTGGCAGGTGGCTCCCCTGGAGGGAGTGATCCAAGAGGGAGAGAGCACAACCACAGAAATTGCAGTGCCTTTTATAACCTAGTCTCAAAAGTGACATGCCATCACTTCAGCTGCATTCTGTTTGTCACACAGACCAACCCTAGTACAGTTGGGAGGGGACTACATAAAGGTAGATGTACTAAGTATGAGTAAAAAAAGTTTTATTCTTAGTTTACTAAGAGTTTTTTTTCTCCATGATTGGGTGTTGTATTTTGTAAAACACGTTTTGTGCATCTATTGAGATGACCACGTGGTTTTTCTCCTTTATTTTCTTAGTGTGGTGAATTATATTGATTGATTTTCTAATGTTGACTAACCTTGCAATCTCCTTGGTCAACAAGTATTGTCCTTTTGATGTTTGCTGGATTCTGATTGCATGGTTTTTTTTCTGTCAGATTTATTGAAGTATAACTTTCATACAGTTAAATCCATTTATTTTAGATATACAGTTCTATGAATTTGGAAAAATATACACAGTGATGTAACCACTACCGCAGTCGTGATGTAGAATATTTCCATCATTCCCCAAAGGCCTGTATATCCTTTTGTAATCAGTTCCCTCCTTCCACCTTTAACCTCTGGAAACTACTGATGTGATTTCTGTCCCTTATAGCTTTGCCTTTTCCAGAATATCATATAAGATGGAATTATACAGTATATAACTTCTGTTTCTGATTTCTTTCAGTCCGAATGATGCTGTCTGAGATTTATCTGTACTTTTTCTTGTATCAGTAATTAGTTTTGTTTTATTGCTGAGTAGTGTACCATTGTAGGGATGTATCATAATTTGCTTGTCCATTCACATATTGATGGAAGTTTTGGTTGTTTCCAGTTTGGGGCAATTATGAATAGAGCTGTTACAAACATTTGTGGTCAGGGCTTTGTATAGACATAATTTTTCCTTTTTCTTCGGTAAATGCCTAGGAGTGTGATTGTACGATAAGTGTGTGTTTAAATTTGTAAGAAACTGCCAAACTTTTCCAAAGGGCTATACCATTTTGCATTCCCACCATTATGTAAGAGTTCCAGATGTTATACATTAACAGCATTTGGTGTTATCTGTTTTTTTAACTGAGATATAATTGACATATAATATTGTAATAGTTTACGTGTACAACATAATGATTTGATATATGTATATATTGCAAAATGATCACTACAGTAAGTTTAGTTAACATCCATCGCTTCACATAGTTAACAGCTTTTTTCTTGTTTTGAGAACTTTTAAGATTCACTCTTCTTAACTTTCAAATGTATGATATAATGTGGTGAACTGTAGTCATCACGCCATACCTTACATCCCCAGGACTTATTTATCTTATAATTGGAAGTTTGTACCTTTTGACCTTTTGGTATTATCTGTTTTTGTTTTTCTGTTTTTCTTTGAATATTCTAAAAGGTTTGTAGTGGTATCTAATTGTAGTTTTGATTTACATTTCCCTAGTGACTAATCCTTAATCTCCCCAATTTTCATTTACTTGCCATTCATATCAGTTTCTTTGGAGAAGTATCTTTTCAATTTTTTCCCCTGCTTTATTTGGGTTATTCTTTTATATTCAGTTATGAGAGTTCTTTATATTCTGGATACAGGTGTTGTGTCAGTGTTCTAGTTCTGTATAACAAATTACCCCAAAATTAAGTGGCTTAAAACAACATTTGTTATCTCTCAGTTTCTTGTGATTCAGGATTCTGACTGCAGCTTAGTGGGTCCTTTGGCCCTGGGTCTTTCAGCTGCAATTAAGATGTCAGCTGGGGCTATCGTCATCTAAAGGCTCAAGGAGGAGCTAATCCAGTTTCAGTTTCACTCAAGTGGGCATTGGCAGGATTCAGTCTCTCAAGGGACTGAATTGTTGTTGGACCGAGGGCCTCGGTTCCTGGCTGGGTGTTGGCCAGAGTCATCCCTTGGTTCCTTGCAATCTAGGCCTCACCACAGAGTATCTCACAACATGGTAGCTGTCTTCAACGGAAGCAAGGGAGAGGGTAAGGGAGGGGAGAAGACAGTGCGAAGAAGATGGAGGTTACAGTCTGTACTGGGTTAACACTGTCCTCCAAAATTCCATGTCTACCCAGAACCTGTAATTGTGACTTTATTTGGAATTAGGACCTTTGCATCTGTAATCAAGTTAAGATGAAGTAATACTGGATTAGGGTGGGCCCTAAATCTAGTACTACCGGTGTCCTTGTAAGAAGAGGGAAATTTGGACACAGACACACAGGGAGAACACGATGTGACAACTGAGGCAGAAATTGCAGTGATGCATCTACAAGACAGGGAATGCCAAGGGTCGTCAGTGGCCACCAGAAGCAAGGAAGAAACAAGGAAATATCCTGTCCTGGAGCCTCTAGAGAGAGCATGGTCCTGCCCAAAACTTTGATTTCAAATTTCTAGTCTCCAGAATTGTGAGATAATAAATTTCTGTCACTTTAAGCCACCCAGATTGTGGTGTTTTGTCACAGCAGCCTAGGAAAACTAACATACAGTCTTTTATAACTTAATCTTGGAAGTAGCATACCATTACTAATTTCTGTTCATTAATAGCACGTTATTAGGTCCCACCCACACTCAAGGAGAGGGGACTTCACATGGACATGAATACCAGGAGGCAGGATCATTGGAAAACAATTTCAGAAGCTGCCTACCTCAGTCTGAGATTGCCAGTGCCAGAGTCCCTGAGGTGAGGACCCGGTTAGGTGGCACCCAGATTTCGCAGTACAGACACCGCAGTAATAAATGTTACTTTAAGCCCCTAGGTTTTGGGGTAATTTGTTATGCAGCAATAGTCAATTACTATAGATATGCAGTATGCAATATTTCCTTTCACTCTGGGGCTTGTCTTAATTTTCGTAACAGAGAGCAGAATTTTTAAATTTTTATGAAGTCCGGTTTGTCAATATTTGTTTTTGATGATTCATGCTTTTTGCATCTTACTAAGATAAGATGTCTTTGCCTAAATGTGACAAAGAATTTCTTTTGTTTTCTAGACAAATAGTTTTGACTAAAACTCTGTTCTGAGTTAATTGTTCTATGTAGTGTGAGGTATAAATCAAGATTAATTTTCAAAAATATGGGTGTCTAATTGTTCCAGCATCTCTTATCATCCATTTAATGTCTGTAATGAGCTGTACTGATGTCCCCTCTTTCTTTTCTGATATGGCAGTTAGTGTTTTTTCTTGATGTGTCTAGCTGAGGGTTTATCAATTTTATTGAGCTTTTTGGAGGACCAGCTTTTGTTTTAGTTTTTTCCCTTCCATTGGCCTTCTTTGTATTTCATTATTGCCTTCCTCTTCTTACTTTGGACTTAATTTGCTTCTCTTTTCTACCTTATTAAGGTAGAAAATAATTTTCGATAGAAGCAGCTGTAAAATTTCTCTAAGCACTGTTTTAACTAAGTTCCACAAATATATATTCAGTTCATACTGTTATATAATTTCCCTGGTGATTTTTTCTTTGAATCATGTATTTTTAAATGTGTTGCTTTGTTGTCAATTATTTATGGATTTTCCAGATATGGTTTTCATTTTAACTCCCAAGTTAATTCTGTTGTGGTCAGAAAACATTCACAAACATCAATTACATCAGCATTGTTCAAAAGCTTTTATATTCTTAATGGTTTTCAGTCTGTTCTCTTACTGAGAGAAGAGAACTAAAATCTTCAACTATGATTGTGGATTTGTCTTTATCTCCTTTGAGTTCTTTTAGTTTTTGCTTCAAGTATTTTGAAGATCTGTTACTAGATCAATTCACAGTATTTCATGACCTCTTGAGGAGCTGACCTTTTTATTATTATAAAATGTCCTTCTTTATAAACTCTTATAATACTCTCTGACTTGAAGTCTACTTGGTCTGATATTAAATCAGCACTCCAATTTTCTTTTAAGTCATGTTTCCATTGAATATTATTTTCCATTATTTACCTGTAACCTGTATATGCCTTTATTTTTCAGGTGATTTTCTTGTAGGCAACTACATTTGGGTCTTGCCTTTTAATTTGAGTGTTTTAAACCATCTACATTTAATGCACTTATTGCTGTGGTTGGGTGTAAACCTACCATCTCACTACTTGTTTTTTCTTTGTCCCATATATTCTGTGGCTTTTTATAAAATGTTTTTCCTGGCTTTTTTCGGATTGAGTTATATTTTATTTGAGTCTTCTATTTTTTCTTCTCTGTTGGCTTTTTGGCTTTTCATCTGTAGCTGGTTGTTTTGCTGGTTGCTCTAGGGTTTGCAATATGCATCTTAAACCTATTTCAGTCTACTCTCAAATAGTGTTATGCCACTTCATGTCTAAGTTAATCATATGAGAGTCTTATATTTTCTCCCGTACATCCTTCATGCTATTATCATACATTTCCTTCTTTATATACTGTGAAGGCCATGCATATTTATTCTTCAATCAGTCTCTTTTTATCGGACAGTTATGAAGGGAAAAGTTCTTTTATTTACCCACATATTTACCATTTCTGGTACTCTCCTTCTTTTGTGTGGATAGAAATTCCTGTCTGTTATTGTTTTCCTTCTGCATGATAAACTTGTCTTAATACATTGTAGTACATACCTGTTGTCATTGCATTCTCCTAAATTATTTGTCTGAAAATCTCTTTATTCTGCCTTCAGTTTTGAAGGATTTTTCACTGTGGGGTTATAGGTTGATAGTTATTTTGCAACAGCCATTCCTTATCATGAGGCTCACACTGATTCTGATGAGAAGTCAGTTGTTATTCTCATCCTTGTTCTCCTTTACCTAATATGTCATTTTTTCTATTTGGTTTTAAGATTTATTTTCACTGTTACTGGTTTTCAATAGTTTGATTTTTGTTGTGCCTTGATGTCATTTGTTTGTGTGTGTGTGTGTGTGTGTGTGTATTTGCCTTGCTTTGGATTCTTTGAGCTTTTTGAAATGTGGGTTTATAGTTTGTATCAAATTTGGGTAACATTTGGCCATTATTTCCTTAAATATTTATATATGGCTCGCCATCTCTTTTTTGGGATACCACTTAAATATGTGTTAGACTGCTTTACGTTTGTTACACAAGTCACTGAGAATCTATTCATTTTTTAAAACCAGTTTTTCTCTGTGTACTTCATTTTGGAAAGTGTCTATTACTATTTCTTCAAGTTCTTGTTGTTTGTAAACATTGGGGTTTACCACCTATTCAGATAGAATGTTGCTCCTGGAAAACCAAAAGTGTTAACTTGTTGACTGTCTTTTAGATAAATAGGGGTACTGGTTAGCAGTGAAAATGTCTTTGCCTTAAGGGAAATAGTATAGGGAAGTAACTTGTGCAAGGTAGGAAGAATAGTACTTTTTAAAAAAAATTAATAAGTCACTTATTAGTGTATCACTTCCATGAATTCATGCTATCAGAAAAGGTAGGACTACATCCCTCCATGTGGGCTTTCTAACATTGCTTCACAGTTGTTTGCCCATAAAGAGTAGGGTTGGGACATGAGAGAAACTGTACAATGAGAGAAACTGTATATACCAACCTCATTCTGATTGGTGAAATGTGTGAGAATTTTTTTTATAAAGTGCTAAAAGAGATGCACCCTTAAATTTTAAACCCCGGTTACTCTGAGCTCTCAGAGACCCTAAGATAACATTAATAACAGGCAAGTACAAGTCTTTACATACATAGATTTGATTATTTCAATTTGTTACTCAGTCTTTACATATATATTGTTGATTATTTCAGTTTGTTATTCAAGTTTTGTTTGGAAAATCGTAATGTAGCTTCTTATTTAAAATTTTTACTTTTCTGTAAAGATGAAAATTATGTTAGTAATTCTATTCACTACTTACTGTGACTATGTTTATATACTTTAGAATTTACTTTCTAAGTGTTATTTTTTAATGAAAATAAAAAAATTACTAGAATTAAATATGGAGAGTTTTAAAAAAATAATATTGGAGTAGGGAAGACCTTTCCAAATATGACATAAAATTGAAGAATCATAAAGGAAAATGTTAATAAATTTCAACTACATGAAAATAAATGTTTTACATGGCAAAAAAAAAAAGAAAACCTCACCATGAGCTACATTAAAAAATGCATGAGAAACTGGAAAAAAAATTTACTTCATATAGCTGACAACTGATTTCTTATTAATTTCTAATATATTCCAGGATATTAATTATAGCATTATTCATCATAGTAAGTTTTTGAAAACACTATTCTCAACAACAGATAGATTAAATAAATTATGATATATTCACAAAGTATAAAATTATGCAACTGTTAAGAAGAATGAAGCAGATATATATTTATATAAAACAGAGCTCCTAGAACAGTCTTGACATGTAGTAGTCATCCCATATGTTTGTTGATGAATGAGTTTTTAAGTGAACAAAAGCAAGGTCTAACATACTCTATATAGAGTGCTATCATTTGTGTAAAAAAAGTATGTGTGTGTGTGTATATATATGTATATATATATACACACATATACACACACATACATATGTGCATGTATGTATAGAACATAACAAGTAATATATATAAAAAAGTGTATAGTAGAAGATTTAGGTGGATGAGAGAGAGGGGAGGTAGTAGGTACAAAGACAGGGTAGGAAATGCCTTTTGGTACCTTATGAATTTTGTAGCGTGCATTTTTAAACTGCTTGAATAGTTAATAATTAGCATAAAATACTGTATTTACAGGGATGAAAGTGAACCTGCCCAAATAGAAGATTCAAGTGTTGTTAAACCTGATGGCTGGCTTGATAATGAACCGAAATTTATTCCAGATCCTAATGCTGAAAAACCCATTGACTGGTAAGCATTCTTCATCTTCAAATGTCAATTTCATATGTTTCTTACTTGCTTTTTTGTTACTAGTTTATATGACTGACAGGAGAGACTTGAGGTTACTCCATTTGCTTTGTTCTAACATCCTAAGGAATGAAGACATGGATGGAGAATGGGAGGCACCTCAGATTTCTAATCCGGCATGTCAGATTGGGTGTGGCGAGTGGAGCCCTCCCATGATAGGTAACCCAAAATACAAAGGAGTATGGACACCTCCAATGATAGATAACCCTAACTACCAGGTAATAACCACTTGTTCCAGTCCCATAGTAAACTTTAAAATGTTGTGCTATTTATCTAGTTATTGATAATGTTATGTTAACTTCAGGAAATTTGATTTGTATAATAGTGTGCCTTAGCTATCTTAAGAAGTCAAAGAACATAGTACTCCAACTAATTTATGTTTAAAAAGTGAAACATTCCTTATTTAATTTTCTGGGGGAATAAAATTAAGAACTAAAGATAAGTTACTTTATACTATATTTTTCCTTATACTGATGATCACTTTGAAATAAAATTTTATTTTAGAATTAAATATAAGAAGTGACTTCTGATCAAGAAGACTCAGGTTGCACATTTTAGTAATTAAAGTCTGTGCTTAATTAACATGCTCCTTACTCTCTGGTATTATTAAAATTGAATTTTTTTCCCTAATATGAATCAGATATTTTTTGAGTATACCTAGTTTTGGAGGTAGAAATCCTTATGTTATCCATTTAACCCTCTAGTTTTATCTAATTATTCATTGACATTTTCTAACATTTATTTTATATATACAGTTATATATTCTTTTTGCTCACTGTAGTTTTTCTTCATAGTATTTATCACAAAATGTCTGTTTTGGTAACTTTTTTAACGTCTATCTCCTTCATTAGATTTTAAACACCATAATGCAGGGACCATGTCTGCCTTGATTACCACTGTATCCTAGCATCTGGCATAGTGCCTGGCACAGAATAGACATATGTGATGGTGGAATAAGTCAGTGAGTGATCATATTGTCCAATGTATTTGATTTGATTGAGTTTAATCATTCAAGATCTAATGGAACTTCTGTGTTGAATAATTGTTCTGAGATTCAACCGTGGTTGATTATTGATGCCTATCATGAGTATATGATGAAAGGTGCGGTTCCGTTTTTGCCATACAGTGATCTCTGATTTGAACAATTTTAATGATATCTTGTCTTGAATATCTTTACTAAATGTAAAAAAAACCCAACTTGTCTAATATAGTGTCAGTTGTGAAATTTGATTACTCAAGTTTCTGTACTGGATTTTCACTCTGCCTCTTTTTTTTTTTTTGGCAGTTTACTTATTTATTTTACTTATTTTGGCTGCACTGGGTCTTCATTGTGGCGCTCAGGCTTCTCTAGTTGCAGCGTGCTGGCTCTAGAGCACACGGGCTCAGTAGTTGCACTGCGTGGGCTTAGTTGTGGTATGTGGGATCTTAGTTCACCAGCCAGGGATTGAACCCAGGGCCCCTGCATTGGGAGCACAGAGTCTTAAGCACTGGACAACTAGGGAAGTCCCCTTTTGCAGAGTTTAAAGTCATTGTTCATAGGGAACATTGTGTACAGGATATATTTCATAGGGAACATCGTGTTCCGGATAAGAAGAAACAAGATTTTATTTCTAGTGAATTACTAATGAATTAATTATAAGTTAAAGTTTTCTTTTTTCCAGTTAGTATTGCTAATTTCATTCAACACCAACTACTTCTTGAGTAACATTTATAATGAAATTATTTTATTTGAAAATGTCTTTAAATTATTTTTTCTCACAGGGTATCTGGAGTCCTCGAAAAATTCCTAATCCAGATTATTTTGAAGACAATCACCCATTTCTTCTGACTTCCTTCTGTGCTCTTGGTTTAGAGCTTTGGTCCATGACCTCTGATATCTACTTTGATAATTTTATTATTTGTTCGGAAAAGGAAGTAGCAGATCGCTGGGCTGCAGATGGCTGGGGAGTGAAAATAATGATAGAAAATGATAATGAGGTACAGTATTTACCATACGGTAATAATAGGATGTGGTTCTGGTTATAGGTTGTACAAATGGCCTTTAAAAAAGGTAAATAAATGTGCCATAATTACTAAATGCTAAAGAAGCATATTTAAATAAATTTATGTAGACAGAGTATTTAGCTTTACCAAATATGATACAGCTTCATTATAAACTAATAATGAATTATATATATGTAAGTCTTCATTTCATTTATTAAATTATGATAGCATAATGGGATTGAGTGCCTTTTGATGGTTATAGAAATGAGACCACTACTACTACTAGAAATGAGACTTAATATCTTTGTCACCTATCATTTTAAGGCCTAAGTGGGAACAGTAATCTAAATATTCTTTATTCATTTTAACTACTTTTCACTTAGAGGAGTATAGAAACTTTTAAAATTTAATATTATTATGTTTCAGTTTTTTTCCCCAAATCTTAACACTACTTAGAAAAGAATAAGCTAAGTATTTCAACACAATGCATCTTGGAGAATCTTATCTTTAAAACGAATTACTGTAAAGAAAAATGTGTACCTCACATTAGGTCTCTTTGGATATTAGCTAAAACCATCAGAAGAGTAAGTAAAGGTAAAGGGATTCTCATTTGGAAACTCTTTTAACTAAAACATTTGATGATTTTAGATTTTATTTTAGTAAGAGAAACAATTTCCTTCCTGAAGGTTGTGTGTAAAATTTGTTAATAAACAAGAAAAAGAAAACACAATGATTATCAGGTTGATTTTTTTTTTTTAGTAAGTTTTTTAAATGTACAGGTTGAGTTATCAGAGAGTTGTGTACTTCTAAATGAACCAGATAATACATCCATAAAGAGTAGTTCTATCCTGAAACTTACCAAAAAAGAAAACTGTCCAAATTCTTGCTGGTAGGTTAGCAATATTCACCTATATAGTATAATGTACCTTCTACTACAAAGTGTCAAACAGCAATGCATGCGAATAATTGTTTAAACTTTATGAAGTATAAAATGAGAAAATAAAATATCTTTTATCTTACAAATTCACGATTCCTTAATATAAAACCACCTAGGTGAAATAAGTTTTTTGTTTTTGTAGGCTGTATTTCTGAATGAAGGTTTATAAAATCTTAATTGCCTTTTTATGCTTATTTCTTCTCTAGCCTAGTATATTCAAACAGTTGACGGCAGCTACTGAAGAGCGCCCATGGCTTTGGTTCATTTATCTTGTGACAGCAGTGCTTCCAATAGCATTAATTACTTCATTTTGTTGGCCAAGAAAAGTAAAGGTAAAGAAAATGAATTTTTGTCAACAGTAAAAAAAAAAAAAAAAAAAACTCTTAGTGTTTAGGAGTTCTATATTGGAGCAAGTGGCTCTTAAAAGTAATAAACTAAATTGCCTGTAAGTTTTTACTGATAGTTCACTATGATATCACTTATTGCAAAAAATCTTTTTGTAAATAGAGCTTTGCTTTTAGTAAAAATAGCTTGTGTTAAACTGCGACAGAAAGGATATGAAGATGCAGAGTTCAAAAAACTGGACATATGTAAACCACAAACAAAGGGAGCACTAGAGCAAGAAGTAAAGGGAGAGAAAGCAGCCCTGGAGAAACCAGTAGACTTGGAAGAGGAAAAACAGCAAAGTGATGGTGAAATTCTTGAAAAAGGTAAGACGATGACGGTGATTTATAATGGGGACAAAGCTGGGCAAAGCTCCCTTAAAATAGTAGATTAAGTGGTAAACACGGGCTGTTGCACTTGTTTATTGTCAGATTTATACCATTTGAATCTCCAAGAAGGCGTGACTGGCGAAGAGGAGTAACATCCTTGCCTGGGTTGTACCTGAGCAGACATCCAATGTATGACTTTTGTTGTCTAGGAAGAAAGAGGTGTAAAAATTGTTCAGTTGCTTCAGAACCTAGCAACTATGAATCCCATATGCCATAGCTTGTTTTTGTTGTTGTTGTTTGTTTGTGTTTTTTTTTTGCGGTACGCGGGCCTCTCACTGTTGTGGCCTCTCCCGTTGCGGAGCAACAGGCTCCGGACGCGCAGGCTCAGTGGCCGTGGCTCACGGGCGCAGCCGATCCATGGCATGTGGGATCTTCCTGGACTGGGGCACGAACCCGTGTCCCCTGCATCGGCAGGCGGACTCTCAACCACTGCGCCACCAGGGAAGCCCTGCCATAGCTTTTTGCAAAGATTTTTCTCCCCTCCAAGGATGAGATGGGAGGTACAGACCATGGCTTCTGTAGAAGAGTAATCGGTTTAAGGCAGGTGATTGCAGCAACAAAATCCACACCAAGTCTCCCAAGGGCTGTTGTTTATCAGATAATTTATCATGTGGAACGAACAGTTTAATCTCTTGAAAGGATTACTAAATCATACGTCCCCTTGCCACCCTCTACTAAACTCCAGAAGATGTTAGAACTGAAGACAGCTGAGGCTTTTTGGTGCCTCTCCAATGTGACTTCCTTATGCACATTGAGGTAGCAATAAAACTATTGATATTTGTCAGGCATCCCAAGCCAGGCTACAGAATGAGCCCTTTATAACCTAAATTATATCTTGAGCACTGTTTTTAACTTAATAGTTGATGCAACAGTTGACTTAAAAAACATACTCCCTCAAAACACACATGCACACACGTATATTTACATATATGTGTGTACACACACACACACATTCTTTGGTTTTCATTTTACATACAGAGTGCTTTAAAATTCTTTAAACCTGCCCCTTTCCTCAAATATGATTTATTTATAAAATGTGATAAAATAAATATTTCTATTTAAATTTTTAAAAATGTCTAATGGAAGAAATTGCTTATAAATATTGGAATTTAAATACATCCCTCCACTTTTATTTAATACTTTTAAGTAGCAAAATTCTAATTCGAGTTTTTGCCTTTAATAAAATCTATTTAATAAAAAATTCCAGAAGAGGAAGGTGAACCTGAGGAAAAGAGTGAAGAAGAAATTGAAATCATAGAAGGACAAGAAGAAGGTAATAAATCAAATAAGTCTGGATCAGAGGATGAGGTAAGCAACTCTTTAACAGAAAATAAACTAGTTTCTATGTATGACTGTTAATCCATAAAAAAATATTTAATAAAAACAATCTGGTTTTGAAGAATTTTTTGCCATATTTCTCCCAGCTTTCTTAAGAGCATACATATTGCTTTAAAATGTATCCTTAAGGAAAGCATGAAAATAATGTAATTTATGTCCTCTTAATGCCTAATGAAACAGTATAAAGTAAGCCTTTGGTTTACAAAATATAAAGAGAGAGCTACGTCTGTAAAAAATGACGTCATTAAAGTGTTTTGTTGAAAGGTGTAATAAGCAGACCATCTGAATATTTAAAAAGTAAGTCTGTTTATTACAAGACAATTTTCTTTTAGCCATTGTGAAAACGTTCTCACTGTCACAGTTATTTACTGTAATATTTTGAAAGATTGCATTCATTGGGTAGTTGAGTACTATGCCTGGTAATGGTGTTTTTCTCAAATCTTTAATAAGCTAGTTTCTCATTAACTTGATATGTCTGCCCCCTTTTCCATCCTGATGTATGATAGAACTTTCCACAGTGCCTTTTTTTATAGTCAGTTATTATGGAATCAGAAACCATCCAGGTATAATTCAGAACCCGAGCTTTCTTCTTTCACCTAGTATATACCCCCCAAGCCTGTTTTCTCTGCTTCTCTAGCCCTCTAAGAGCTGCATAACCCCACCTGCCGGTCACCGTCCCCAGCACTCTCATAGCTTAGAGTTAGGTAGGGTAAAGGTCCGTTATGCCTGGACTGTTGCATGTGATGAGATAAACTTGCTATTTTGTTTATTTGAAGAAATCTCCCAGATAAACTTCTGTTGTTAGTATTTTAATTGTTTTCTAAAGCTTATTCAGTACATATACCTGGTTACTGGTCTTAACTGCCTAGTGAGTTTTTTTTAAATGGGCTTTGGGGCTCATTATCTAGTATGCATATCTTTATTTAGAGGGAGCTGGGTGAAGATAATTTCTTTCAGAACAGAGTTTTAAGCAGTCCTTGTTTCCCGCCGTCACTCTTTTAATAATAATATTTGGAATCATTCACTGAATGTGTATTCTAGTTATATTTTGCTTTGTAAAATATTTTGTGTACTTTTAAAAGTATCTAAATTCCATCTTTTCAGTCTTTTAATCTTCTTATATGTTTGTCAGTGAGCTAAAATAAATCAATTTTTATATAATATAACCTTTAGAAATAATTATAACTATTTTGTATAATACCTGCATTATTTTATTGTTATACAAGTTTAATTTATATATAAACGATTATTCTGGAAGGATAGAATTAAAGGAGAGAAAAAGCCCAAACCATAAGTTTAATGTTTCCCTTTCCTCTCTGTTAATTTTTCTCAAAGTGTTAGGTACCAGAAGTTCTGAAAAAGTCTCTGTAAAACCAGCTCAGCAATTCATTACTTACAGAAACATTGTGATGTATAGTTAATGCTTAATATCCCACAATGAAAATATCATGTAACCTTTAATTAACCATGACATTAGATTAAGTTGTAAATCATGAAATAAAATCATGAATTGAGTTATTAGCATTATTCCTTGTCAGATGCATATTTGACAAACAGTTATTCTAAAAATGTAATCATGGCAAAAGATGAACAAATTGAAACATCAATTTATATACACGTTTTTGATCAGTTATTAAGTAAAGGAACATAAAAATAAAGATATATATGTATTATAAACATAAAGATGTTTTGTTAGAAACATGTATTTTAGAGAATAAGAAATACATTACTTACTACTCTCTACTAGTTGCCCACTGTATGAAAATAAACGTTTTCATATATTTTTCCCTAGATGAGGGAAGCAGATGAGAGCACAGGATCTGGAGATGGGCCAGTAAAGTCAGTACGCAAAAGAAGAGTACGAAAGGAATGACCTGTATTCAAGTATTTTTAATTCCTAAGAGAGAGAGTTGGCATTCTCAAGTGAACTAGACTCAATCTGCACATCCTGTTTCTACTATCTAGCAATGATATTCTTTCAGACATTTATTTTAATCTTATTTTTCAGAAAAAAAAAAAACAACTTTGAAGTTAACCTGGTCTTTGAATTTAGAATAAAAGAAAAGTGGCACGTTACATGTCACATTTTAAGAGATTAATAGCATTAGAAGTTACACAGTTTTAATAGTTTGGAGAAAGTTTTGGTTTCTACAGAGCAAAATAATATGCAGCCACTTCACTGCTATTGGAAGAATCAGTTATTGGAATTTCCCCTTAAACGGCTATACTACAGTATAACTGGTAGTTCCATAGTATAAATAAGTGTGAGTTCTGTTGTACAGAGCTAAATGCAATAAAGTTTCTGCATGGTTGTTTGTTTCTATCAACAACCGAAAGTGTTGTATGTGACCCACATTTACCTCCTTTGTGTCAAATTATAGTTATGGTCCATTGTTCACGTAAATTATAGAGTCCTTTAAAGAGGTGCTTTGTTGACAGACAAATCAACAAAACTGAAATGTCTATGTGTCATTCATAGAATCACTGGTCAATAGTGCAGCATACTTATATTTGAATACAGAGATAAGAGGTTTATCAAAACGAAATGGTGTACAGATTTTTTTGAAGCTGTTACAGTTGTTTTATGCCAGAATGGCTTACTCTGTTTACAAGATTGCTTATGCCTACATTGCTCTTGAAAGTAACATTTAAATATTTTTTCTTCTTTAAATGATACCATCTTTAATAGGTAAATTATTATGGGGGAGTCTTTCTTTTATCTGATCATTAAGAGATTGTAATGGCTAATAGATATCAATCATCATGCTTTGTATTTTTATCTTTTTTCCGACAAAGTCAAATCTATCTTCTGACAAATTCAAATCTATTGTCTCATCTAGCTTCAAAGCTGCCTCTATGGTAGACTATTGCTCCTCTTTTTAAAACACAGTTGACCCTTTTACAACAGAGGTTTGAACTGCGTGGGTCCACTTATACACAGATTTTGTTTTCAATTAATTCTATAGAACTACACGGTATGTTGAATCCTCTGATGCAGAATCTGCAGATAAGGATGGTCAACTATGGGACTTGAGCATCTGTGGATTTTGGTATCTGCCATGCGTCCTGGAACCAATCCCCCATGGATACCAAGGAACGACTGTAGGTACCAAAAGTCACAGAAGTACATTATAGTAGAGCTGTATTATTCCATTTAACATATTTAAGAATTTTTCCGGTTTGGGTGACAGACCCTTTGGAAGGTGATCTAAATCTTTGAGACCATGGAACTACTTTAATACCAACTATCTAGAGAACGCTATACTAGTTGGGTAATATTTTGGATTCCTTCATGGACATATACATCCCATCCTTGGGTAAGCCCGCCTCCTATACATCCCCCTCCCCAGTAGTACATTTAAAGCTTATGTATAAGGAAAAGGAGCCTCTAGCTTCTCCTCTGACATAAAGGAAGCCAAACACAGCCAGTATAGCCACTATTCACTCCTTATTTCAGGGAGTGAACTGAAAATGAATATAAGTGCTTTATTCCATTGCTGTGTTCTGAACTTTCCATAAATTGGTGGTGGACAATCTTAATATGTAGTTAACCATACTTTGTATTTATTTAATACTGACTAAACTTAACGCATCTTGCAAGGACTCCCTTTCTTGCTTTGTATTTGGAATGTCCAAGTGAACTAGATATACTGAATGATTCTAGATGAGATTGTTTCTGAAAGTAAACTACTACTTCATGAGATAAATCCTTTCTTAACTTTATGGAAAACTTCTTGCCGACAAGTGTCTTATATATGATCATTTTTTTCTAAAGATTATTAAAGCTTTTTTTACTTTCTTGGTTGCAGATTAATTTTAACTTTCACATTTGGTTAAACTCCATGAGCTTGCAGGGGTAAAATCTGAGCAACCAGTTTTTGCCAGTTCACTGCTCCTTCCTGTGGATGTACCATGCCTGATAGGTTTAAATTTGTGTATTAGATCCATGCAGTAGACAAAGCATAGAGTCTTCTTTAATAACGAAATGGCTTTTTCCTTTTACCACCGTAATGTGACTTTATTGTTTAAAACGATTTAAGTTTTATCCTTTCCTCTAATAAAGGAGAAAAATAAATGTATTTTGCCCTTTATTTCAGTTGGCCTTTTTAGAGGCTTTTTAACTTGACCAGGCTAAAGTAACTTCCTTTTCCTTGAACTTTTTTTGAAGGTAACCTTGCTTCCATTGGTCATTCCTCTAGGAAGATACATACTGCTGGAACTAGGAGCCTTTTTAAAGTGTCAGTCTACATTTGCAAAACACAGAGGATAAACCTGCTTACGTGTTAAAATTAACCACTAGCAATGAATATAATGTACCTTGGAAATTTAGAATACTAATTTAGAAAACTAATAGTTTTCAGTGAAAACTATTTAGAATAGTTAAAACATAAATATATTACACTCTAGGTACCTATGAAGCTTTTTTGTTCTCTTTTCAATTGTGGTTCTGTTTTTAACTTCAGCAGGATTTAAAGATGAAATATCATATGGTTAATATTGGATAACTACTTAAATCTCATGTAAAGGATTTATTTAAACATAATAGTAGGATTTTCTACATAAATTCTAATAATCTCTTTCCAAATTATAGCTCCCATTTCCATAGTATGACAGCTGTGAGGAGTTAAGGAAATAAAATTATCCCTAATCCGACAGGTCAGATGAAGCAGGTTGATGGGAGAGAAAATGTATTTTTGAATGCATCTGAAGTTTGTAGAGATCCAAATACATGGAAAAGCAATGGTAATTTTAGAGAAAATGGGCAACAGGATAATTTTTTTAAATGATCTTTTAACACCTAACATAGTATCTTACCACATATTTTGTGTTTCTTAAATGAATACAGTTTTACGTCTTTTGTAAAATTTTGGAGTAATTTCAAGTTTTAATTACTTAGACTAAACATTTGATAAGCCATCTATAGATAATAATAGAAAATTTAAAACAAGGCAAATACATTATACAATTGATTACAGTGTATTACTTTAGCTTCTGTCATCACTCCTCAATACCCCTTCCATTATATGGTAAATTAGGTCCTAAGGTCAACATAAAGTCCATGTTATAGTAAATATCTTCAAATACCATTAATCTCTATGATTTAAGTGAAATAGACTGTAGCTTGTTTTTAGGATGGAGTAGCTAGAGGCAATTAAGTCATTCTTCCAATTATTAACCTTTCATTTAGTCACACCTCTCTGTTCTTTCATGATGTACAAGTGGTCTCACCAACTAAGTAATACCTGGTCTTTGCTGGCAATTTTGATTATATCAGCATTGAAGAAATATCTGATGACAACCACTAGAGGGTGTTAACTCAAGATAGGGAAAAACAAAATTATCGGGGAAAGTAAAGAAAGACTGCATTCTAAAGAATTAAGATCAGTTTTGCTTTGTTTCGGACCATAAAAGTAATTCTAGAATATATAATTCACCTTTCACTTCTCGTTTGGAGAAAGGACTTGATCAGGAATATAAATATGACATCATAAACTGGTTGGAACTGCATGCTTGGATGACTTTGGTTATTTCTCCACAAATTGTTTTATTGTTACACGTACAATTCCAAATTCCAAAAATCTCTGTAAATCTGAAGTTTTTCATGTTTGACATCAAAACTCATTTGGCAGCCAAACCTGACCTCCCTGACAGGCTATCTGTAGTCTTTGCTTACCTAACTTAGTATTAAATTCATATATTTCGCTACAAAAATATTAATGTATTTGATTCCAAGTACTGCCCCAAGCTGTACTGGTGTATGAGTCATAATACTTTATGAAATGAAAAATTCCAAATTCTGAAATAACTGGTCCCAAGAGTTCCAGATAAGGGACTGTGAGCTGTATTAACTTGCTATAAGTCGAGTCCAAAGTGAATACAAAAAGGACAAATTTTGGATGGAATACTAGTGTTAGTATTGAGGGAAGTTCTACTGGGAGACCCTGAGGAAAAGCGGTCCCTGCCAGTCATCATTCCACCAGCATTTAGAGCTAGGAAGTATCACTATTAAAAATGTCTTCTGACACTGGTTAAAACAATAAGGAAGACTTTGTTTAGGACTATCGCAATAGGGCCAAGACGATCACCATAGGGGAGAGAGAATGGGCTTAACTCCAGATACAGTGAAGACAGCTGGGGATTTATAGTCGTTGAGCAGAGTGGGTCGGGGGAGGGTTGGTGGATGGAAAATTCCTAAGAGGAGACATCGAGGGTAGAAGGGTGCTTGCCATGCCGATTTAACAGGATTCTTGCTGAAGGCAGGCAGGGTGATCAGATTCACTTAGCAGGATTTTTACTAAAACTGGACTAGGCAGGCTGAAGACAGGGCCTAAGATGAGGCCTAGACAAAGAGGGCTCAGAAGAACCTGGTTAAAGTTTGGTCAAGGAGAGAGTCTTGATCAGAAGCTAGGCACAGTCCCTGTGCACACTGTTTACCACCTGTATTTCTAATATAGAAATGACATCCTGAAGATATTGCCATAATGAAAACAGAATATATAACACTGGTTTACCATTCATATGACGAGCAGGTGGGGCATGAATTTCAGGTAACATTTTGTCACTTGAGTTAACAGCTGTAGGACAGCAGTTGGATAAGCCAAAATGTGAAATGAATTGGCTGTTCCTTGATGCTTTTAGCAAGGTATCGCAGGAAGGAACTTACCAGTGTCCAAGCAGAGATGGAAGGGAATAGAGAAGGATCACACATATTAGGTACCTCACAAGATTAGAAAAACTAATTGCTTCTGTACCCTGAATAGCAGAAAAAGTTCAAAATGGTTTTATTTTTGAGGTGTGGGAGGTAGAAGGGGAAGGCCAGTTAAGACTTCTCTTCCAAGTGTTAAGGCAATCAAAGGGACCCAGCCCTGCAGTGACACCTGGGTGTTGCAGTCCCAGTGCAGTCTTATTTTCAGTTGGTTTCAAAGTAGCCTCCATTAAAGAGAGGCAGGGTCCTGTGAGGAAGGAAAGCAAGCAAACTTTTGAGAATTTGGTCTAGAAAAGAGCTTGATTGTGATTCCTAGCCTATGGAACTGAAGCATATCGACAACAAGGTTGTTTTTGAGGGAGTTGTACAGCCCAAGAAATGTGAGCTTGGCCTACAAACGATGGGCAGCAGACTCACACCAGCGCGAATTGGACTGCTTTCACAACTCCCATGAGAGGAATGGACAAGGAGTAACTTTCCAGTTGGGGGAAGCCATGGAGAGCAATGGGTAAGGGAAGTCCCTTGCCAGAGATTACAGTCAGGGTCTAATCAAGGAACTTCGTCCACTATCAGAGACAGGATCTTTACAGGGTCTCTCTCCCAGGAGTATTCCACAACTGCTTTGATGTGTTTCCCTTTATTCCGTTGTCCAAATTTCGAGTTCCTATTTAGGTATCCTATCCCCACTACACCATTATAAATGGGCAGAGCAAATAATCTGTCATCAGTTTAGAGGCGGTCAGACTATTAGGAGTCACATCTACAACTGACAGACCTTGACAGAGATCCTAGATTTTGAGCCAAGTCAGTAACTGGATGAGGAGAGGTTGAGTACGTTGTGTGTATGGGAAGAAGGCTGGGCACAGATACTTAATAGCGAGAGAAGAGGGCTGTGCCTGAAGCTGCTGCCACCCTCATCCTCTGTCGGCTTCCATAATAAAGTCGTAGCTGGAATATGGCTTCCAGCCAGCAACTACATTTCTCAGCCACTCTTGCATCTAAATCCCCACGCCCTTGGGAATGTGAGAAGACATGAGCCATTTCCAGGCAGGCCCAACCCAAAAACCGTGCATGTGTACCCCATGCATTTTTCTGCAAATCAGAATGGTGATAACTAGTGTGACTTGGAAGCCACGGTTGAAAATGGCAGAGAAATCCTCAGCTCACAAAGCCTGTTTGTTAGTTTACAATGCTCACCTCAGAACCATTAGTTGGAAGAGAAACTTGGTTTTTTTACCACTGCATCTCGTTACAAGAGCTTAGCCTA